ATGGCTATTTTTCTCAAAATTATCTACAGATTCAATGTAAATTTAAGCATGATTTATATAGAATAACAAAGGGCTGAAAATAGCCAAGACATTCCTAGAGAAGAACTAAGCAGGGAGCTTGCCCTACTAGATATTAAGATATTTTGTAAAACTATAGTAATTAAAATAGACTGGAATTGAAGAGAGAGATCTCACTAACAGAATAATGTATATTTGGAAACTTAATATTTAATCTAGCTAGTACTGCATGTCACTAACAGAGTTTCATAAATAGTTCTGGGAAACTGGTCATCTACATGGAAAAAAACTGAAAGTGGATCTGTACCTCTTACACAAAAAATAAATTCCACATTTATTAATAAATTCCAGATTGATTAATGTGAAAGAAAAAATTTTTAAGTTTTTGAAAAAAATATAGGAGACTATTTTTATGACCTTAGGATAAGGAAGGCTTTCTTTACAAAACACAAAAAGTTCAAACCATAAAGGAAAAGACTGATAAATGCAACAACTTTAAAACCTACATTCATCAAAAAAGATTATAAAGAAAGTTAAAAGACAAGCTACTGAGAGAAGCAATTTGTAACTTATATGTATATCAGATAAAGGCTATCAAAAAGACAAACTTTGGGCCTGGCCCAGTGGCATAGTGGTAAGTTCGCATGCTCTGCTTCAGCAGCCCAGGGTTCGCAGGTTCAGATCCAGGGTGCAAACCTACGTACTGCTCATCAAGCCACACTGTGGCAGTGTCCCACATACAAAATAGAAGAAGACGGGCACAGATGTTAGCTCAGGGCCAATCTTCCTCAGCAAAAAGAGGAAGATTGGCATCGGATGTTAGCTCATGGCTAATCTCCCTCACCAAAAAAAAAAAACAAAAAAACAGGCATTTCACAGAAGGGAACCACAAATGGCCAATGAAAATATAAGGTGCTCAAACTCATTAACCAGAGAATTACAAATTAAAATCACAATGAGGTACCATTTACTCTTACCCAATTGGAAAAATAAAAAGCCAGGTTGAGGGGCCAGCCCCGTGGCGTACTGGTTAAGTTCAGCACACCCCGCTTCAGCAGCCTTGGTTCTCGGGTTCGGATCCTGGGTGTGGACCTACACTACTCATCAGCCATGCTGTGGCGGCGACCCACATACAAAGTAGAGGAAGACTAGCACAGATGTTAGCTCAGGGCTAATCTTCCTCAAGCAAAAAAAGAAAAAGAGGAAGACTGGCAACAGATGTTAGCTCAAGGCCAATCCTCCTCAGAAAAAAAAGTAATAAGCCAGGTTGTACTATGCAGTTAAATTAAATAAGGAGGCTGTAAATGAGTTGTAGTTCTGTATACTAAATGATTTCAATTTTATATGTAAATATTTGATATGGATGTACATATATATTTAAAAAATATATATATATAATTGGAAAATAAACATAAAATATTAATAGTGAAAAAAAAAACCAGGCTAGTAAGGATATGGATCCTTGGGAATTTTTATACTCTGATGGTAGCAGTGTAAACTATTGCAAACTCTTTGGAAAATAATTTGGCATTACCTACAGAAGATGAATATGCATATCCCCCATGATTCAGTAATTCTTTTCCTAAGTGTGTATCTTAGAGAAACTCTTGAAGGGGACACCTTAAATGTACATAGCCCCAAACCAAAAACAACCCAAATGTTCATCAATAGTATAAATATATAAATAAACTGTATTATACCATAGTATAGTATTGTGGCAAAAAAACACACAAATTGATGATAGCTATACACCTCAAAACAAATAATAAATCTCAAGATAATGTTAAGCACAAAAAAAGAAACAAAAAGATAAAAAACAGAAAAAAATGGACTATGATCCTATTTATGTAAAGTTCTCCAACAGGCAAATTCACCAACAGGCAAATTAAACAAACAAAAATGTGAAAAACATGACAATGAAAAGTCAGGGATCACCATCAGGTAGTTTCAAATATGGGTATTGTAATGCTAAAATTCCCAACCGGCCATGTCAGTTTCTCTCCCAGAGCTATTCAAATCACTTTGTCCATTTTGCTTCATCAGTTAGACAAACATTTCATGAGTTAAGCCCGTCTCTACTCTGAATAAGCTTATAGGAGAATGTGTTGGTACTGTGCTAGGTGTTTTACACTCATTATTTTTCTTTTGGACAGAGCATAAGCATTTAATAATAATAATAATAAAAATAATATACTAATAAAATAAGTACCATTAATGCCAGGTGCTATGCTAAGGGCTTTACAGTAATTTTAATTTAATCCTCACAACAACTCTATGAAGTAAATACTATTATCACCATCCCCAATGGGTACTATTATTATCATCCTAATAATAATAATAAACATAATATGTATTTGACCACTTACTAATGCCAGGCACTGGGCTAAGGCTTTATAGTCATTCTAATTTAATCCTCACAACAACCCTATAAGTAGATACTATTATCATTCCTAATGGATATTATTACCATCCCCATTTCCAAGATAAAAAAACTAAGGGGGAGGATGAGGTAATTAATAGGGAAAATCAAGTAACTCACCCAAGGTCATACAACTAATAAAGGATAGAGCTGGGATTTGAACCTATGTATGTCTGACTCTAAAGCCTAAGTTTAGCCACTTTCACACATTATTTTATTTAATATTCATAAGCCCTGTAAGGTAAATACAACGTAGGGGTTAAGAGCATAGGTTCTAAAGACAGAAAGACATAGGCCCATATCCTAGCTCTACCATGTTCCTACTGTGGGACTGAGGACCAGCTCCCCAACCTCTCTGAAAGGTATAGTTCTTCATCTACAAAATGGAGATTTTTTTTTTTTTTTTGTGGGGAAGATCAGCCCTGAGCTAACATCCATGCTAATGCTCCTCTTTTTGCTGAGGAAGACCCGCTCTGACCTAACTTCTATTGCCAACCCTCCTCCTTTTTTTTTCCCCAAAGCCCCAGTAGATAGTTGTATGTCATAGTTGCACTTCCTTCTAGTTGCTGTATGTGGGACGCAGCCTCAGCATGGCTGGAGAAGCGGTGCGTTGGTGTGCGCCCGGGATCCGAACCCAGGCTGCCAGCAGCGGAGCATGCGCACTTAACCGCTAAGCCACGGGGCCGGCCCTAGAATAATTTTTTGTTTCTGCCTTATCACCCAATTAGCTCTTTTTGAAAGCAAGGACTCAGTCTTCAAAGAGGCAATACAGTCTGGATTAGATCTGCCTCAACCAAAGCAGCTCTGCTCTCATCTGTTTTATACTGGAATTCTGGGGGAAGATTTTGTTTCAAAAAGGACTTCAATTGTTATTTTTATTTTGTTTTGAAGTTTAAAAAAATATTTTGTTTTAAGTTTAGTACCTCACTAAAATTAAAAGGACTGATAATACCAAGTGTTTGCAAAGATATGAAGCAACTAGAACACATTCATGTATAGTATAGCCATACAAGAATGACGCAGTTTGGAAAACAGGAAGTATCTGTTAAAGATATAGACAGATATATCTTATGATTCAGTGATTCTATTCCTTGGTATATACCCAAGAGAAATTAACACCTATGTCCACCAAAAGTAATGTACAAGAATGTTCTAGCAACTTTACCCATAATAGCCCAAAACCGGAAACACCAAATGTCCATCAATGGAACAATGGATAAATTCTGTTAAATGTACATATTGGAATGTTACACAGCAATGAAAAAGAATGAACTACTGCTATGTACAATATTATGGATGAATCTAATGTCAAATGAAAGAAGCCAGGCACAAAATAATAGGCATGAGTGCATTTATATGAAGTTCAAAAACATGCCTATAATTCTCTTTGAACCAATAAAAATAACCTAGAGCCACTGGAATGATAATACCTAATAATTTATAATCAATAACTGAAGCTAGGTGCAGAAAGATGGCTGTTCCTTTCCAATTGTCTACGTGAGGAATCAACATCAACAAGTTCTACACAATGAAAAAAAAAATCAAGAAGATATTCCTTGGTAAAGGGAAGCAGGGCACCCAAGGAAAGTACACTGCTTTTTCTTTTTCTTACAGGAGGTATGCATTTCTTTTATAAATGGAAAAAGATAAAAAATAAAATAAAATTTAGTTATAGCCAATTTTTCTTCATGAGGAGGAGATGCTACCTGAATTTAACAGTAGTTCCCATTTTTGTATCTTCGTTCTAGGTATATAAGTCATCAGGTCAGGCTGTCACCTCAAGTCAGGACACCCTAGTCATCACTATATAAGAAAGGAAGAAAAATGCAATGGTTTTAGAAGTATTTGAATCCAAGAAACTTCTTGTATGGATTATGGATTAAGCTTCCAAATTTCAGAGATTCTCGAGCCTTTTGTAAAAATCAAGAGATATCCATCAGATGGCAAAAGCAGCACTACATGTAAAAACATGCCATGAAAAAAAGTACTAGCCCATTGAGGACAAGGCATGGATTCTAATTCTGACCTTGCCATCTAAATTTGAGTAAATCATTTTGATCTTTCTGACTCAGTCCTCCTACCTATAAAATGAAGGGATTGGGTTAGGTAATTTTAGCCTTTATTTTTCTCTATCACTAAACATTCCTAAAAGCTTGGAATTCACTACATGCTCACTGATATGGTAGATGCTTTTCCTTGTATTAACCTTAATCTACACAAAAGCCAATTATTCTTACTAACAAAAACATTTAGAAATCAGAAATGAGAAGCCACTAAAAATGAATGATGGACATTAAAGCCTGAGGTCCATGAAAAAGGCCTTTCATTGCATAAACTGGGTTTGCCTCCAACAAATAAATAAAAAGGACTACAATTCATAAATAAACAAATGAATTAAATAAATGAAAGTGTCTATAATGAAGTTCCTAGAGAAGTTTTAAAAAACTCATCAACAAAGCTATGTCTGTTCCAAAAACGTTCTGTAGTTTACACACACACACACACACACACATTTTTATTAGCTGAATACAGAGTTAAAATAAAAAACATAACATTTACTCACTTTGACAGAGATACTCCCCCAACTTTCCCAATCATCTCTTCATGGTGCAATACTGAGTGGTTCCACGGAATATGGAGGAACTTTAAGAGTGTTCTCATCCACCGTTCGGGATGTAAGACAAGCTGTTCATAGTGAATTAACATGCATTTTTTATAGCCAACCTCCATACATTGGTTATACATGGTCTCTATGGCACGATTCCACTTGGTTAAACAGTCTCTATAGCTGTTCAGGTCAAACCCAGCTATAGTAACTTTTCGAGAAATCATTGAATGTACTGATGCCCGACCATCTCGGACCATCAGGAGAAATTTGGCATTGGGGAATAACCTAGCAAGGTAAGTTAAAGATTTCAGGGCAAAAGGATCTTTATTACATAAATAAGGGGCTGGCTCCCCATGTTTAACTATGATTTCTAGTAAGAAGGCTTGCATGGCAGAATCCAGCACTTCATCGGTGACACCAGCCTCATCCAAGCGTATTTTCTCTTTACTCGACCGTGACCACATCTGCTTCAGGGCCAGGATTCGAGGAATGACCCTGGTTTCCTCTCCACAACGAATATCAGGATGTGCATCCAGCATGGCCCTCATGAGTGTGGTTCCACTCCGAGGCACACCTCCAATAAATATTAAAGGCATATCTTTGTGATAGGCAAAGGTTTTGTTGGCTTTGATGTCCAAGCCAGTTCGCACAGTGGTCTTTGCGATCTCCAATCTGAGGGGCTGGCTACGTTCCTCTATTCGGTGATGGCATTCCATAGCATGTTGGCCCAAGTAAAACACAGTCACAGAACTAATCACCAGACATGCCAATAGTAAGTTCTGCTTCAGTTTTCCAACCATCTTGATGTGGTTATCTTGTTATTAAACAGATATTTTGCACAGAATGATTTTCAGAAAATGTTCAGGCCATGGAGATTCTACTTCAGAAAGATGATCAACATCTAATAGGAAAAGGAAAAAGTTATTTTATCATCACATTAAGATTGTTTACAAATTAGTCATCAGTTACCACCGTTACATTTTGGCTAGAAAGCAGCTGAAGCAGTCTTAGACGCTTTGATACTCTTAGAACACAAGTATACACAAATGCAAGCAAATATAAATCAACATTTCTAATCAGAAACAGCTCTTAATGTAACAATTCTAAAGCTATGTACCTTGCACAGGATGAAAAAACAAAACTATTTCTATCAGTGAGTCAAGCAAATATTTAATATGCCCAAGTCTATCTGGAGTCTAACCCAAGCTCATCTCTGGTATTCAGATTTGCTTCATCCCCAAGAAGTCATTATCTCCACATTCTACTGTAAAGAGAAATTACAGAAGAAATATACGACTCCCAAATCTTTAACACAGATTCAGTTTATTCATCCCACAAATTATTTATTTAGGCCAGATACTTGGGCTTGGCTGAGGATAAACTTTGAAAATGACAGTAGTGCAGTGACTCCCGCTCTCAAGAAACAAAGTCTCATGGACAGACAGATATGCAAACGATGACAATAAAATGCAATCAGTGCCTTAGCAGAAATAAGCAAAGGGGACAATGGGAGTATAACGAAAAGGAGCACATAAGTCTGCCTGAGGAAGCTGTAAAAGCATTCGTTATAGAAAATAAGAGGGAGGGATACGCTAAGCAATAGGAACTTGTGTGCAAAAGCACAATGGCATCAGAGAACACAGCATAATTAGGTGACAAGAAGTAGTTCAGGAGAGCTGGTGTATAGGGTGCAAAGAAAATTGTGTGTGTGTGTGTGTCTGATCTAGCCTTCAGAAGGACAGATAAGATTTGGACACAGAGACCATTCTAAGCTGAAGACACACTATGACCAAAGATGTGGACGTGTAAAAGCAGGGGCATGTATGGAAAATATACATACTATAGAACTGCTAGTTTACTATAGAACTGCTAGTTTAACTGGAGCAAGGAGACATACTACAAAGCAGACAGCAATTAGACTACGTCTAGACTAAAGAAATTTACTCTGAATCCTTAGAGGGCAAGTATGATGGTTAATTTTATGTGTCAACTTGGCTAGGCTATGGTGCCCTGTGTTTAGTCAAACACCAGTCTAGATGTTGCCGTACAGGCATTTTTTAGATGTAATTAACAATTAAATCAACAGACTCTGGATAAGGCAGATCGACTTCCATAATACGGGTGGGCCTCATCCAACAATTGAAGTCCTTATGAGAAAAGACAGGATTCCTGAAGAAAAAGGAATTGTCCTCAAGACTGCAACACAGAAACCCTGCCTAAGTTTTTAGCCTGCTGCCCTGAGGAATTCAGACTCAAGGCTAACACCAACTCTTATCCGCCGGAATGCTCTACGGATTTTAAAAATGCCAGTGCCACAATTGCATGAGCCAATTCCTTAAAAACTCTCTCTCTCTCTTATATATACATCTCCTGGCTAACAGTAAGTATACCGGGGGAAATCACTAACTACAATAGAAAAAGAATACATTCTGAGAGGCAGGACCTTTAGCTACAGACTAGTGAGAAGGTAGGCAATTCTTTTCCCCAGAAAACAATAATAAAGCAGGATGAAATTGACCAAACAACCCTTTCAGTCCTCTGGATCTACCAAAGGAATACAACCACCCAAAAAGCCTTTATGTTTGAAAAACTACTAAATGTTAAGAACAGTGAGCATCTGTGGCATTCTTGCCTAAGACTTCTCCCACTCCACCATCCACCCACTCAATAGGTACAGAGGTTCTGCAGGGCAGGGCAAACTATGAGGACTGGCGGCTTTGCTGCCAGGATCAAACGGAGATGGCTCAATTTGGAGTGGTGACGAACACACCTGCCCCTTGTGCTGTCAGTGTAAGTGACGCTCCAGATGGCAGGTGAGCAAGGAGGGGGAACAGCTCTAGGAGGCTGAGGTTGCAGTCACGGTTCGCAAGCTCGTGGCCACCCCTGAGGCTGCACATAGGCAAAGAGGAGACCTGAAAGGACCGAGTGGAAAGTAAACGCCAGGGCAGATTTGAAAACAGCCTGAACTTTGAATGTGCTCCTCTACCCACATGCAGATCCACCCACAGAGGACAAAGACTTACTGGCTCAAGTTGTTTGAGCATAACCACTGTCTACTAAGCTACACAGACGGGAGGGAACCCCTAAAAAGCCATGCTTAAAAATGAAAATAACTGGGCTAGCCCCGTGGCATAGTGGTAAGTTTGCGTGCTCTGCTTCAGCGGCCCAGGGTTCACGGGTTCAGATCTTGGGTGCGGACCTATGCACCGCTTGTCAAGCCATGCTGTGGCAGGCGTCCCACATATAAAGTAGAGGGAGATGGGCACGGATGTTAGCCCAGCCAATCTTCCTCAGCAAAGAGAGGAGGAGTGGCAACAGATATTAGCTCAGGGCTAATCTTCCTCACCAAGAAAAAAAAAAAAGAAAAGAATTATAAGTGTGTGTGTGTGTGTGTGTGCGTGTGTGTGTATATATATGAGCAGCTACATCAGCATACACTTCTATGAAATGTCCACACAAGGCAAATTTATAGAGACAGAAAGCAGAAGGTGGAAGCAGGAATTTAACAACAAAGAGGCATGAGGGGACTTTTTGCAGTGATGGAAATGTTCTAAAACTGGACTGTTGCGATAGTTACACAACTCTATAAATATAATCTACTAAAAATCACTGGATTGCACTCTTTCAATGGGTAAGTTTTATGGTATACAAGTTATACCTCAATATAGCTGTTTGGTTTTTTTAAAAAAAGAATACATTCCTAGAAAAATATTTTGATAGTCTCAGGAAGATACACCAGCCAAGATCTGGTGTTTGTTTACTCATGTATTCATTCCTTTAGTCACATATTTGAACACATATTATTGTGCCAAGCACTGTACTTCATTATAAAGCTGCAACAAAGAACCACAAAGTGAGAATAGGTTGAGATTGAAAGATCAACTTAATAAGAAAAGACTGCAAAGAAAAAAGCACTAATTAAGATAATTGGTAGCAATAAAGCATTGAAATATCTATGCAGAAAACTGTAGCCATGATATAGAAGACAGAATTAAGACGTTATAGCAGTATTCCATTTAAAAGGAGGTAGATGGAAAGAGAACAAAACAATGGAGAGAAAAAGAGGGTAATATGGAAAACAAAGAATTAAGATTCAACCCTAGAATAATAACATTTTGGTTGAAGAAACCAAAACTATATTACAAGCACAAAAGAAGAAAATGTTCCCGAACTGGAAAAAAAAGACAGTCTATAAGTGAGGGTGTACGTTTCAAGCAAAACAAATGACAATAAACCCAATCTGGACATATCCTAGCAATTTCAAATATGGCAACTGCAAATTTGAAATATCCTTCAATTTGAAATGTGAAGGAAATAGTTCTGTAGGCTTCCAAACAGAAAAGGAAAATAAGGACCAAAAGGCCAAACAACAAGCTGGCATTGGATGTCTCTACAATATTAAATGCTTATCCTCAGCTTTCCTTGTAGATTCCTTTATTTTTCAAATTTGCTATAATGAACAAATGTGTTACTTTTCTAAGTGGGAAAAGAAAAACCAGTACTTTAAAAATAATAGGAATAGCCTGTCTTAAAAAATGACAGGTAAACATCTGAAAAATGAGTAGGAATTAGGGAAAGAGTGAAGAGAAGAGCATTCTAAGCAAAAGCAAATGGATATGCAAAAGCCCTGAGATGGGAAGGCACTTGAAAGCTTTCAAGGAGCAGGGCACGGCAGCGAGCAAGCAGGAAAGTGGGAGAGAGATGAAACTGGAAAGATGGGTGGGGGTCAGATGATAAATCTTGTGATCAGGTTAGGGACATGAAATTTTATGATAGATGCAGTCAGATGTGACTGATTTAAAGATTTTAAGCAGGGAATTACTTAATCCTATTTAGGTTTATACAGTCTCACCCTGGCCAAAACCATCTTGAAAAAGAACAATGTTGGAAGACTCATAATTCCCAATTTCAAAACTTACTGCAAAGCTACAGCAACGAAGACAATGTAGTACTGGCATAAAAAACGGCATACAGATGAATGGAATAGAATTGCAAGTCCAGAAATAAACTTACATTTATGGTCAATTGATTTTTGACAAGGGTGCCAAGACAACTGAGTGAGGAAAGAGTAGTGTTTTCAACAAACAGGGCTGCGACAACTGGGTATTCACATGCAAAGAATGAAGATGAATACCTAGCCACAAAAATTAACTCAAAATGAACTAGAGACCTAAATGTAAGAGCTAAAACTACAAAACTCTTAGAAGAAAACAGAGGTGTAAATCTTTGTGGCCTTGTTTTAGGCCACAGTTTCTTAGATACAACACCAGAAGCATAAGAGACAAAGAAAAAACAAAGTAGGCTTCAACAAAATTAAAAACACCTATACTTCAAAGGATTCCATCCTGAAAGTGAAAGACAAACCAAAAATGGGAGAAAATATTTGCAAATCATATAGCTGATAAGAGACTTTATCCAGAATATATAAAGAACCATTACAATTCAACAATAAAGACAAATAACCCAAGAAAAAATGGACTAAGGATCTGAATAGACATTTCTCCAAAGAAGATATATAAACGGTCAATAAGCACATGAAAAGAAGCTCAACATCATTAGTCTTTAGGAAAATGCAAATCAAAACCACGAGATACCCCTTCACACCCGCTAGATAGCTACAATAAAAAACACAGACAATAAAAAGTGTTGGTGAGGGCCGGCCTGGAGGCGTAGTGGTTAGGTTCACGCAATCCCCTTTGGTGGCCCAGGGTTCGTGGGCTCAGATCCCTGGCACAGACCTATGCACAGTTTATCAAGCCATGCTGCAGTAGGCGTCCCACATAAAAAAAAAAAAAGAGGAAGATGGGCACAGACGTTAGCTTGGGGCCAATCTTCCTCAGCAAAAGGAGGAGGACTGGCAGCAGATATTAGCTCTGAGCTAATCCTTCTCACCAGAAAAAA